CATGTGTACCATATATTACAACACGCAGCAATGAAAACATCGACTGGAACTCTAACGTTGTCGAGCATTGTAACAAATGGCGGCTGGTAGAATGGGCAAAGGTCGAGGTCGTCACTCTCAATAGTGACGTCATCTGTTTTGTTCTATGACGTTTCCCTTCGTCGGGCAGTTAATGGAAGACCCTGGGCTTCTGCAAATGATAATGGCCCCAAACCAGCTTTACCTTTATAGTATACCAGTCTGTATTGGAGCTTGCAGCGTATTGGTATGTAAAACGGACTTGGGAAGGAGTTTGAGGAGTTTTATTCCTTTGCGATGCAAACACATGGTTGCCCAATGACATGCCTGGCCCAAGTTGCCTTGGAGCGATTAGTTACTTCCGCTAGATCGCCAGATAGGGAGGTATCATTACGGATAAGGATATTACGTAGTAATATTGTTACAGAGCTATACGAAGCCTCGTTGTGATCAGAGTCGTTGAGGGGCGGTGGGGTAGCCTAGTGGTTAAAGCGTTGGCTCATCACGCCGAAGACCCGGGGTTCGAATCCCCACATGGGTACAATGTGTGAAGCCCATTTCTGGTGTACCCCGCCGTGATGTTGCTGGAATATTGCTAAAAGCGGCGTAAAACCAAACTCAGTCAGTCAGTCAGTGTCGTTGCTGTTTTCTTGTGAACAGCTGCAATCCTCGTCAACAACCTATTCCTTTCGTTCTTGATGCCGGAAATAAGTGCCCATCGATAACCTTGTACTTCCTTGTCATGATCCGTTTTGGTTTCGCCATCAAAATTCATTTTAAACCCTATCGATCAAACATTTGTCAACATAAATGAAGATTTCTGTCAGCGATCCGGCGCTGTACCACTGTATGACCAGTTACTTCACTATCTGACGTAGTAACCAAGTGCTTTCGAGAAAGGTGTGTTCATTCCTGTTTGCTTACTCCAACTGTATAAAGAAGTGTTGTCGTTTCTCACTGTCTTGGGTGCATATCATATGTACCTGTGTATCCAGTTATAGCAAATATAAACCATGTGAAGTGACCTTTTAAACGATTCCTTATGTGCCGTGGTAGTACCTGTGCACCTAGCGAGTTAGTGAAGCGAAGATAAATTGAAAAAGATCGCCCATAGCCAGTCAATCTGCTCTCTGTAAGAACGAGTACTTTGGAAGTCTTAATTCAAAAACTCACTTCATTACGCAGTTCAACCATGTTTAACGATGTATGTACTTTATGTTAATCATGTGCAGTAAGTTTGGATCTTCCATACGCGCCAAAATTCATATTAGCTACAAAAACATCTTAATAGATTAAATAATATAAGCGTAGGCCGATAGTATTACAGGTTGATATAAACAAAAATATACAGTTATAAGAGTTCACTGATGGTCATCCAGCAGAGATAGTGATTGTGGATATATCATCTTCGCTCCAGTTAAAATTGTTCATAACTTTGAAGCATGTCCTCTTTATAGATACGTATTTGTGCGGCACTAGTGATCGCGAAAAGAAAACACATAACACGTCGAATGCATCGTAGATTTTCCATTTCCAATTCCAATAAATGCATAATTCACAAGTTAAAAACAATAAAGCAACTCACCATGTACGTTAATCAACGCTGTGATACATACCGTCATAAGTTCCAAGCCGTGATCATAACATACCTGGAAATAGCTTACTTGTTACTAGCTCTGTTGCCATGTGATATCATTGGTATTGACATTTCACAACATTTGATCCCCGTGAAGGTCCGGGTTAGAATATTGATCTTCAGTAACCCATGCTTATCGTAAGAGGCGACTAACGGGATCGGGTGGTCAGGCTTGCTGACTTGGTTGACACATGTCATCGGTTCCCCACTGCGCAGATCGATGCTCATGCTGTTGATCACTGGATTGTCTGATCCAGACTCGATTATTTACAGACTGCCGCCATATAGCTTGAATATTGCTGAGTGCGGCGTAAAACTAAACTCACTCACTCTTTCACAACATTTGAGATACACTCTAGAATGCCCCTTCCTCGAAACGTTCAGAGAGCTTTTAAAACATTTTCTAAACAGTGTTTCACCAGGGTTACAACATTAAAGGCCATGGTCAATCTGACTCAATCATCCAAAATGACCCTTATAGTTTATGTGGAAATTTCCACACAAAACTTTCGCATAAACAGTAAATGTGTATCATACCTTCAAGAGACATTGCTCTTTCTCAACGAATAAACCATCTGATTTGAACTTGAAAATACGTCAATATGTTCGTAAAGAGAGGCAAAATTATGTTTCCACGTAACTATCGAATGATCGGTTTGTGAAAATGTCCCCAGTTTCAGGTTGAAAACGTAATAGTTACAATGGACACACATATTCGTGCTCTCGGACTAACACCGGAGAGACGCCTGTCATAATGACACAGTCTTTATCGCGACCAGGACGACAGAATAATGTGCGTGAGCGTCTCTATGAAAATTGTAGTCTTAAATTCCACGTCATCGTAATTCACATTATGTCTAAAGAGAAGACTCTTGCAGGAGGATGGAATGGTTTAAAAATTGTTTGACCAAACTCAGTGTGCTACGATCCCCGATGTTGATCATCAATGTTATCAAACAACGGGTTGCTTGTCCCCAGAGAGCAAACTGTTATTACCACATAAAGATTGTAAAGTGTTCATAAAACTGGGCTCTGCTCACGACCGAAGCGTCTCCCTCTCCCTACTTTCCCCCTATGTTTTGACTGGTGAATTCTGTATTTAGACCTCATCATTCTTCCCAGCAACCTCGCCTTCTTCTTGGCCGCCATGCTCCTCCCCTCCTCCTTTGATGCTTTCTCCTTCTCAAGTTGTTGAAGACGGTTTTTCCCCACTCACACAGTTTTGAATGCGCCATCATCGTCTTCAAGCGGTTGGGCATCTCGATCCTTCTCAAAAAGCACCCTCCTTCTTTTAATATCTCCATCGAGGCCTCGGCCCTGAACCTACAGTAGACAGTGGCACCAACTTACACCGGTAAATCATTGAAGGTATAAGAACAAACACGTTCTTGACTTAGCCTTTGCCTTCATTTTGGCCGCGTTCTCCTCCTGGGATGCCTTCTTCTCCGCAAAGACTTTCTTTCCCGCCCAAATAGCTTCTGATGCGTCCTCATCTTCTTCATGAGGTTTTGCCTCTCCTTCTCAAGAAGCATCGTCTTTCTTTTAATGTCTCGATCGAGGGCTCGCTTCTGAACTTGCTCCACAAACCTACATTGGACAGCGGCACCCACTTAGACTGGTATATCATTGTTAGAACAGGTAACAGCAGATATGTTCTTTTGAAGTAACAATAGGTACGTACCTGTCAAAACGAGTGACATCAGCTTTTATCTGGCGTTCTTCTGAGGTGTAAGGGTCTCTGACAGGCTTTGCGCTCCAGGTGTTTGTTTGTTTTCCACGACGGCTGGTTACATCATCCTTGACAACAACCGAGAAAGCACCTTCACCTGAGCGGTGGCAGTCAGGGACAATCCCTTCTTCTCGTAGCTGATTCAAGATTCCATTACCGTAGAGCCGGAGAGTGGGCTGACATTTGGCGTAATACAGCTAATGTGGACAGTTGATCTTGCCCCCTAAAGCTTCCTCGGCCGATAGTCACTTGGGATACCGTGTCTTTGTCCTCATGCATCCCGTTGTGCTATTGAATACGAACTTCCACAAAGACGACAGACCATGTTGACCAGTGAGACAATGCTATGACGCCAAAGGACGGCACATGCTGTGTCTCACACACAGCAAATTCACAGGCTGAGATATTAGATTTTGACTTGCCACACACGGAGTTTGCAGCTTTGAATTTTGATAACAGCTTTGAATTGTGAAAAGAAAATTCCTTGGCAAGGGATGTACTGCTGCAGCGAAGTCTAGAGCATGAAATCTACGAAATTAAATATGCTTTATGATGTACGGCATCTTATCCAGAGTAATTGCTTGGTTACTGGATTGTCTGGTCCAGAATCGATTATTTAGACAGGCGCCATATAGGTAGAATATTGCTGAGTGCGGCGTTGAACAACCAACCCAATACTTCACTGAGTCATTAATAACAAGCGTCAGACACTTGAGGAAAACAGTATATTATATCATGTCACTTCATTTTACACTGTTAAGCACACAAAAGGCTTCAGAAATAAAGCAGCAATATATTCTTCGAAAGAACCTGGCTTCTTCGAATTCTACACCTCAGTGTCACGCACAGGGGTGTATGTTAATAAGACAAAGAATAAACTCACACCCCGTAGCCAGTGTCTGGTCTTCTGTTGATACATACACATTCCGGTTACATTAAGGTCAAACCAAATCACATAGATTGCCAAACTGAATACATGTATGTTGTTGATAAATACGTTTCTTTGGTACATGATCTCTAAGTTTGGCTTGTCACTGTCTCACGTGTTGAATTATCCTTGTTCCATTCTCTGGCATTCATTCACAGATGCATGCTCATTTTACTCGATAATAGTTGAACAATATTTCAGTTAAATCACGCTTAATGTGGAATGAAATCCGAAAGGGATCCTTTGTAACACTGACCCGTGAAGATCCGGATTAAGAGGCGACTAACGGGATCGGATGGTCAGACTCTGATTTGGTTAATAGAAGCGACAAAACCCTTTTCCACATTCATAAGAAACCTCTGCCAAAAGCAGAGTCGATTGTACAATTGTGACAATATCATGAGCAGATATTTGTTTCAGCAGTATTACAGCAGTACGATGTTGTTTTTAAACAAATCGAGTCTAAACCAGAAAATCCAGTGATTGTCATCATGCGATACGATGACAGAGTTTATGAATCACTATGAAATAGTGATGATAGCAGGTGTTCGCGAACACGCCATCGTATCCCAACTCCGGCGACCGTTGCTCATTCTACTGATCACCGGATTGCCTGGTCCAAATTCGATTATTTACAGACCGCCGCCATATAGCTGGAATATTGTGGCATTAAATAACAAACCAACCAATATTGCAACACTATATAGGAAGTATACACACTAACTAATAATAGTTTCATATGAGCGATTACACAGTTTTCAACATCTGTCCCAATATAGATAGGACTCCAAAAGAAACTAGTTGGAAGGCAGCATATATAATGATAGAATACATATACCAATCCAGACCAAAGCGTCCAATTATCTGACCAGTTACATATGGCAGTAAAGCTGCCCCAGCCATGTCACCTAAGGTACATACACCTAACACTATTGGCGTCAATGTAACGCACGTCCGGCACCAGCCCAGAGACGCTGCCAGAAGGGGAGCTGTGAACAAACCAAGAGGCAAAGAACCCACCCACAAACATGTCTCACTTAGGGGACCAATGATTGTCACAAGTATTGCTGATAGGAGCGTGCCAATGAGACAAACGAACATTATCGTTGATTGAGTTAGATAAAGACTAACGACTGTGCTAAGTATTCGCCCTAGCAAGTACATCAACCAAAGGAATGAAGTTATTTCTGCCATTTTCTGCACATCGAGTCTGAGAGCGCTTTCAATACCATATGTCGTCAAAAATGAACTATAAGAATAGGGTATTCCAGCAAATGGGATGTAAGTAACAGCCAATAATGAAAGAAATATCACAAAAATACATTTACCCTTTTCTCCACGTTCATCGAGAGATACGTAAGCAGTAGATACTTCTTGAGGAGGATTCGGAACCCTGCATTTCTCTTGTAAGATATAGAGGACCATGAAGCCAACAGCGGCTGGCAAAAACGCTATTCCTACAATTATATACACTAAGTGTACTTGTGTGGCATCACTCTTAAGTATGTCAGTAGAGGAGGTGGTAAAGTTTGTGTCATTCTTCAACAACAGTGAGGAGGTCAGCCTTGTTGACATGAAGTTCCATCCAGCTGTGCTGTTCTGTGAAAGAGGAAGCAGTGGTATTATACTTAAAACATTCTGAGACGGTTCTGTCGTTAGATTGTCTTCAACTGGTGGAGCCGACTCGTTAGAGCTGTTGTTGATTCTCTGCCTAAGGAAAGGTGAAGCGATGAGAGGTGATGTTATTCCTCCCACAGAAGAAGCTATGAACACACCATGTATAATGGAAGGGTTGCCGGGGAATAGGACATTGCACTGGTGGCATACACCTGAAAGAAACAACACCAGGGTGAGTGAGTTTAGTTTTACGCCGTAATATTCCAGCTATATGGCAGCGGTCTGTAAATTATCGAGTCGGGGCCAGACAATCCAGTGATCAACAGCATGCGTATCGATCTAGGCAACTGGGATACGATGACACCCGATCCCGTTCGTCGCCTTTTACGACAAGCATGGATGGGTGAAGACCAATTCTAACCCGGATCAACAATATATTGTGCAAGTGTAACACATTGTTTAGAGTAGTGAAATTACTGTTTCCTTTCTTTTGAAACAATGCCAATGACCACTGAAGATGTCGCTCTAAAGCTTGGAACTCGCGGTTCCAATCTATTTATTTATATTTGCATGCTTTACAGTTATATGACCAATAAACATTCTCAAAACTATTAATGTATAACAATATAAACAAAATACAAATGTTATTAATATTTTTTACTACTTCACGAAAATTACCGATCATGGTCACGGAAATTGCCGATCGTATCGGGTGAACCGGTTCGCGAAAAGTGTACCGCAATATATCGTATTGTGAAGTTCGAATTGCATTATACCGGTTGACCGGTATTATCGCCCACCCCTACTCGATAGACGATACTGAAGAAAAAACAGAGACTTTTATGCATGGCAATACTCACACCCGGGCAATAACTGGTCAAAATTAGCAGTGTCTTGTAATATGAGACGGGAAGATAGACCCGTGAGTGCGACGATACTATTTTGCTAAGATGCCAATAAGAAACTTGTTTGACATCAACTTACTCCCGTAAAAGTAGCCATGTGTTCTAATTCTCTCGTACATGTTCGCGACCTAGCAAACGTAATATTTCATAAAGCTTTCCCCACGTGGGTACAATGTGTGGTGTTCCCGGTGCGGTGGGGGAAGCCAAATCTCTGGTGTTCCCCGCCATGATATTGCTGGAATATTGCTAAAAGCGGCGTATAACCATACTTACTCACTCACTCACTGATGGTAATATGTTGAGAGGTAGGGGCAGATTCTGGACGGAATCACGAAGAGTATACTCACAGTTAAATGCACACGCTAAGACGACTCCTACCACAACGACAGCAACGCAGCCAACGTACAGGAGTGGGGTCAGGGCCACAAGAGGTGTAACTGCAGCCGCAACCAATAAAAACACAGCGAGTGCCAGGTTTGGATCCAGGAACTTCAGCACAGCCATGGATAGAAGACATCCCGCGGACATAGCAAAGCCAAGTGAGAGAAACAGATAAGATATCTCTGTGAGACTGGCTTGGAAGTGATCCTGGAGGTCGGGCAACGTTGGACCTATAATGCTGACAAAGCCACCCTATAAGAGACGAAGGAAAATAGTTAAAACTTAACGAAGGTGTGTTTAATTACATGAAGTAAACTCAGGCACACAACCTTGTGTCGAATTTTAAGTGAGTTAGTTAAAATTTATCGCCACATTGGCAATATTTCAGCCATATCCTGACGAGAGAATCTTATACATCAGTAACAAATTATGAAATATTTTTAAACGGTATAAAATCATGTCGTCAAAGGACAGTATAGCACGTGGTATATCACATTATATTCGGTAGTTCGCCAGGGGACCTTTTTTTCTTCATTTTATTTAATTTAATTATTTAATTATTTATTATTTATTATTTATGTTTTTGGTGGGGTGGAGTGTGGTGTGTGGGGGTGTTTTCTAATTGATTCCAAGATTACAATGTCAAATGTACAAAACTCTGGTACATACAGATAAAGGATGTACAGGTATTATGTTAATATCATATTAATAAACACATATAGTGCAATACAAGAGAAAAATGATATCAGGTAAATATGGACATTCATTTTAAGGTCATCAAAGTACTTTGAAGAAAAGGCCCCATTTGTGATTGAAATGTTTTATTTTATTACTTTTATATGATTTTCCAGGAAGAACATATATTTCAGAGTTTTTTATAAATAAAGTTATATTTGGATGCATATTCGTAATACTGCATATGTAAATATGTCTTTTTCCCGCAATGATGATGTGATTTAGTAATATATTTTGATTTAAAGTACCAAACCAAACTATAAGTTTTGATAATAGCAAGGAATGAGGGTATAAAGTTTCAAGCCAGATTTGCATTTTTTTCGAAAAAGTTTGCATGTGTCTCCTGATATTCCCCGTACACATGACAAACACTCTCACTTACATCATTGCAGAATCAACATAGACTGCTATCAATATTTTTAATTTTAAGCAATTCTCTTTTTGTAGAAATCTATATCGAAAATCTATAAGTTTTGAGTCTTATCCTTTTCTGTATACTGAACTAATATTTTTCCAATCAACGTCTGTTTCAGGAAATAACAGCTGCCATTTATTACAAATATTTGGGTGTATATCATTGGAAATAAGATCATAAAAATTCTGCAGCCTTTAGATGTTTTTGCTAAATATATCTAGCATCGGTTAAAATTGAAATCCCTGACTGGTATTATATGACAGTGGTTAAGAGTATTTTTCCAAAAGTCAGGTAATACATGTAGTAAATATCTATAATCTAAACAAATTACTGTACCTTACAGTGCCTTTGCTACCTGCATGGACCCTAGCTGGATTTACACCATCCCTTCAGCCGATTGTAGGAACATTTAGGCATAATTTGAGATCACAAAAATACTACCTTTAAAAATGTGGTAAGTTTGAATTTACTTTTCAGTTTGGGGACTTACGCACCCTCTCAGGAGGACAATACTTTTTCGATACTTTAACCCCCTTTGATGATACAGCCACTAGCAATCTCAGCTACTAATTTAAACGTGTCGTACTTCGATGTACGGGTGTATCGATGTCATGGCTGGGTCCCTGCGTATTCCTTCTGTATTCACTGTTGTGTCGAAGTTTGGATAATTCGAAGTATGTACGTTGGTCCCTTCGATTTGGACACAACAGTGTTTGTCTGTAGTAACATCCGAAAGTGTCATGAGTATACCACAGCTTGCTTGCCATCGACTGTGTTTTATGCAACACATGGTGCCTTATATGTAGGCGTTATAATGTTTATTACTGTTCTTGTATTTAAACTGCCAGTGAATTTTGTACTGCAAAATAAATCATCTTGGGGTTCATGATGAAAGTAAATCGCAACCACACAAAAAATGCCATACTAATCACTATCAACCTATTCTTACCATAAAAATAATGTTGGTCAACTACTGTCTACTGGGGACAGGATGATAAGGACATCGACACGTTGGACAAGATGTCACGAAATTGTTCCATTCACAGTTTTGTATTGTAACAAATGATTAGGTATCAAATCGTCTGCTAGCACATTTACTGATCGTGACTGAATGCACAGTTTAGTAAAGAGTGAGTGAGTTTTACGCCGCAATATTCCAGGTATATGGCGGCGGTCTGTAAATAATCGAGTCTGGACCAGACAATCCAGTGATCAACAACATGAGCATCGATCTACGCAATTGGGATACGATGACATGTGTTAACCAAGTCAGCGAGCCTGACCACCCAATCTCGTTAGTCGCCTCTTACGAGAAGCATTGGTTACTGAAGATCAATATTCTAACCCGGACCTTAACGGGTGTTAGTAAACAAAGTGTACACTACACCATCTCCGGTATGAATGAAACGACGGTCACATATACAGTAAGAATAGTATTTACTATGATTATGCCTTTCAAATGACAGATTTTGAATCCTCGTGCTACTTGTTAGCATCAAATGCCGACTATATATTTCGGGATTTCTTTGGAATGATGACTGTTCCTGAACATGGTGGATAAAACTACATTTGTATTTGTCTTGAGGTTTATCGTAACTCTCTCGTTGATATTAAAGCTTTCAGTGGATAATATTTGATATAGTTTGATTGATGTTATTTGTCGGTGCACACAACCATATTCTAGGCGTATGACATTGGTCTGAAGTATTTAAGTCTGGGCCATACAATCCAGTGATTTACAGTAAAAACCCTTCCCGTCGTCAATAGTGAGTCTTGAATTGTTCCTGCACAAATACTCTGACATAACATAATAGGAGCAGCCGTACGAACACTCTTACATGATAATAAATGATAAGTACATTTATAATGCGCTAAACTCCATTCACACAGCCTAGTTCGCAGTGTCGGAGCGTAGCGCAGGCGCAACAGACCCAGGAAACCAGGCTGAATGCTCACAGCGCTAACAATCTGACTATTATGAGCCCGGATGCCTGTGAGGTGCTGGGTTCATAGTCACATGGATATTGGGATTAACCTGATATACCAGCAACCTTCAGCCATTTTCAAAATCTATTGTAGGATGGTATAAAATGTAGTAGAGCAATTAGCCCATCACATACTTCCCTGCTATATCACTTACCAGTTGGCATACGAAATAGCACCACAACAGCACTTGTAAAACCTTCCTGGCCGCCATCACTACTGCAAGGAAGACTTCTTCGCTTTGACACATTTGTGACGGGCAGCTGGGCTTTAAGCAATGATTGTAATATCGATGCAAAGGCAATGACGATACGTATGAGTGAATACAGAAATAACAATGCTCAGACAATTATGATTGGAATTAGTGAACAGAAAACCAGACCCCAACGTAGTTTTCAGTGAAGCATGGATTGCCATGTATATTGGAATCCGGGTTGTTTTAGCTGACCTAATTTACCTTGGCTGTTTTTTCACGGGGTCCACTGTTGCGCTGACATGTTTTTGCCTATATATGTACCTAGTAGGAATATCATTTGGTAGCGGTACACAAATACTTAATGATATAGTCGTTGTAATGCAGCTTCCTGCTGATTCTTATAATTATGACATGTACTTGTAGGTTCCTAAAATGAAATGAAAGGTTTACGGAATTAGCCCGTCAAAGAACTAGGTATGAAACAAACAACAAACATATGTACTGTAATTAACCATTGTATTCTAAAATTAACTTAGTTAATCAATAAAAAGGTATCACTATGGCAAAATTATATTATATACATTATAATATATATTTATGTATATTTGTATAGCGCCAATATCCAGATCACCTGCTCAAAGGCGCTATGTTTTTCCATCGATCATTGGAAGTCAGTCTCAAATGGCACATTGTATTATCAATCTCAACTCCCTGGGGATCATACTCTCGCAGCTACTAGGCGCTCCGAGTTGATGTGGCTTTTCCCATTCTTACGAGATACCCTTTCACAGCTGGGTGGACTGGGACACATAGTCACAGTACTTTGTACACATTTTACTGCACGTTGCTGTACCCGGAACTTGGTGCAGGTATTCATGTGGCCACCATCTGGTCATGTACCAACGGATTCGCATGGGCGGATCCAGGAATTCTGAAAGGAAGGGGTTCAGGGGGTTCGAACCATTGGCTCCGCCAACAAAAATCTTCAATGTGATCTTAAGTCATTTTTAAAAGGGGCGGGTGCGTGCGTGCGTGTGTGTGTGTGTGTGTGTGTGTGTGTGTGTGTGGAACAGATGATTATAGCATTAAAAAACAATGATGGTAATATTCTCTTCTCAGCAAAGGTAAACCGATGTTCAAGGGATTGTTTGTGTGCACGGTTGAACAATATCTGAAAAGTAGCACAAGATAATAAATAGACCCATTTGAGCCATTTTAATACAGACGTTTGTATTTTGAAGACTTTTAGTTGTTGATATGTTGGATGGTTTAGAACGTGAAAGGTTGTTATTAATTTTCCCAACCTCACAGTCTCCCTTTAGTATGGGGATGCAGGCTTTGGTGGAAACATACATGTTTAGCAGGATGTTGGTATCTATCGAACAAAACTGAAAACTGTTTAATGAATAATGTGTTACGTTCATTCTCTAAGTGGAGGGGTACATATAGCTCCGGAAAATATAGTTTCGTCACGCCGAAGACCCGGGTTCGATTCCCCGCATGGGTACGCGTGAAGCTCATTTCTGGTGTCCCCAGCCGAGATATTGCAATAATATTGCTAAAAGCGGCGTAAAAATCAACTTACTCACTGGAACAATGTCAGCATTTTACTGTGTTCCCTCTACTGCAAACCGTCGGATAAATGCTAGAATTTTTTTCACGCATCTACCTACCTAATGATCAGAAGAACCACAGTTGTATATAAAGTATGACCAGAAATTATTGAGAATTTTAGGAATATGTTTAATTGATTTTCTAGTACAAACAACCTTGACCAGCTATCAAGTGCTTGGTTTCATTCAAGAGAGACAACTCCGTTAATCCTTTTTCATTAGTTTGTGAAGAGTTATCCCCCTTTGTTTACTTGCTAGCAGACGACATTTTCAGTGATCCTCAGTATGGATGATTTAGAGAAGAGGAATTTGATTTTAGAGCATTATAACAAGGACATCAGATCAGCTAAAGTGATTTCAAGTAGAACAGGCATCCCACTGTTTATCGTGTTTTGAAAATATAGCAAATGGATATGGCATTGAGCACCAGGGAGGCGCAGGTAGGCCCAGAAAATTGACTGTCGGTGACAGGAGGCGGCTTGGTATTCTTGTTTCTAAAAACAAACGAAGGAGTTTAGAAAACTTAAGGCTGGATATGATTGATAGAGGAACTGTAGCTGTCTGTAAGGAGACAATTAGAACTGAGCTGCATGCAATGGGTTGGCAGAAAGTCGAGGAATTTCATCACCGATCATGAAACCTGAACAAATAGAGCGAAGGTTGAACTGGTGCTTACAGCATAGAAATTTTAACTGGGACAATGTGATTTTCTCAGATGAAAGTTCTGTGTGGCTGTTTCCTAATACACTGAAATTCTGGACCAAACGAACTAAAAAAACCTTTGTATCAGCGCCCAAAGTACAGTTTAACGAAATTTAACGTGTGGGGTGGCATATTTGTGTAGGGGCAACGCCCCTCTGTGTATTTGAAGGGAATATGAACAGTGAGCGGTACACAGATATTCTCGAGGGACATTTACTTCCATCTGCTCACGTGTTCTATGGAAATGTTTGGATTTTCCAGCAGGACAACGACCAAAAACATCGTTCAAAGCATTCACAGGCCTGGTTTCAGACCCAAAATATGACATTATTAGATTGGCCAAGCTATAGCCCTGACCTAAATCCAATAGAAAATGTTTGGGGACTTATGCAGGAAAGTGTCAATAAGAAACATCTGACAAATATTGCTGAAATGAAAGAAGAGGTGGTCCGATATTGGGACAGCATGGACCACGACTTTCTAACTTATTTGATCAGTAGTATGCCCCGCCACATTGAAGCCTGTATTACTGCCCATGGTGACTTGACAAAATACTAACTGTTCACTTGTCTTTGAATCTGGAGTTATGTTCTGCTAATATTCACATTTAATACGTGAGTAATGAGTGAAAAATATATATAAAATTTACAATCTTAAATTCTCAATAATTTCTAGTTGTACTGTATTACACACATATTTAACAAAACATGTTTATGTTAATGTTACGTGTAAACAAGCGCCAGGGAAATTACCCAAACCATGTGGTTGGAAATCGTGTGGAAATATTTGTTTTTGACTGCTATGGTAGAATGTCAAGCTTCTACAAAGTATTGAAAGTAAGTCTCATTCAATTAAAATTTTCCAAAGGCCACTACGAAATCATTCAAAGGATTTGTGTTGTTTTTTTGTGTTCTTAAAAAATATAATTTATTGATATGAAAAGTGACATGGATTTGGCAAAAGATGTCCAATTTACAATGCTGTTTACATAATATGTATGTGTAAGTATGGAACATTTAATAAGTAAGGTGCAGACAAAGTGTTATGGTGACAAAAATCAGCCATGAAGGCCCTGACCAGCGTTTGGCGTAGACGTGTATGTCATGTTTGACTCCATGGATCGGGATGAACAAACAAGAACTCTATTTGGGGGACACACACCCGATATTGAGGATCATAAACTGCTTCACCTTGTCGGACTATTCTTCCTCTCCAAAGGACTCATTCGCCATTAACATTTTAACTAACTTACTCTTCCCTGCTGTCCAGCTGCAAATCTCCAAGTAGGGAGGAACTAAAGATACACACGTAAAGTCATTAATACGTAACACAATACAAGCAGAAGCCAGATATGAAACAATATATCAACAGGAAATTCATTTTCACGGAGTAAATTTAAATACTAGTGTGATTATGCTGCACGGATGCTGTCTTGGATGAAAGATTGTTCTTAATCATTGCTTTTGTAGACGACGACCAGAAGATAAAAACGTATACTCGGGGAAAGGATATGAGAACTGCCATACATTCTTTTACCTGTTTTTTTCGAGATTAGCTGGAATTCCAATGATTTTACTTGCTGTGTTTACACTTTTGGAAAGTTTTGTTTTTAATCTGAACAGCTAGTGTCCCATAACCATGTGCGACAGATAAAAGTTAATACTTTGGAGAAATGTTCTGTAAAAATCCCATTGATGGTCCCGTTAACGACGTAAGAAATATAGCCGCTGCTTCCCTTTTCATAGACAAAAGTGTCAAGATATTTGAACTAATCTCGATAATGAGTATAACTATCACGATGAAGATTTGTTTGGATCGAGAATTGCCAATTAAAAATATTCAGATATTTATCCGTCGGACATTCGATTGTTGTATTGTTGTTGTATTGGTTGTTGTTTGTCAGCACTGTTTGAGCTGTATGGCGGCAGTTTGTAAATAATCGAGCCTGGACCAGACAATCCTGTGATGAACAACATGTGCATCGACGTAACGATGTGTCATCGAAGTTAGCGAACCTGCCCACCCGTTAATCGCCTGTTACGACAAGCATGGGTTGCTGCAGACCAATTTTAACCCGGATCTCTAAAAAGTGAAAAACTGAAAAGTAATCACAATGAAAATATTGCACTCATGTGCTTTGAATAGGGTCAAAGCGTCTTAAAATTTAACTGTATATTCAAACAAAAAAATATCATCTGCTAACAACAATAGCATAAAATCAAAAGCATCAGACACAAATATACAAGGAGTACATTGTATTTGAATACAGCTAGCCGTACTCATTAAACTTAAAATAAATACAATAGGGCTAAGGATACAACCTTGACGAACACAACCAGTAGACAAACACGGGATTATACCATACCCCGTCTAAACACAAGCTTTAACACATGCATGCCTATATACTTTTTCTGAATGTTAAAAAAATTGTCATGAAAACCACTGATAAGTAGCAAAATTGAACATTTGTTTCATTTTTTCTCTATCAACGAAGTAGACACTTTGCTTAAATCTATATATGCACAATAAAAACAACGACGTATGTTTGCATGAATATCTAGTACAAAGTGTTTGAAAAGTAAATATATTGTCTATCGTCCAATATTAAGGGGAAAATCCGGCTTGAGCCTCGGTTATAAGGTTATATCAGGCTAGAAGTCTATGTTCTACCACACCAGTAAACAGTGTCCAAAACCTTGTTAAATAGGCTCCG